GGGAGAAAAGTTCCCTGATTCTCAAAACCACACTCTCTAGCTGTTTTCTCTCATTCCCTTTCACCACACCGGACTTTGATGTTTCAAAGGACCTCTCCAAAGTGTCATTTTTCACCATCTTTCCAGTTGCAACTCCCTAGGCAATTGTCACTCTACTAGCTGTGTCTTTCTCCAGTGTCTTTCTCTCTCTCTTTTTTTTTTTCAATATTAAACTTAACCAAGGGATCCTTTTTCCTTGAAATCACTTCCGAGAGCCAAGAGTTCAACAGTTCAGAACTAACGTAATAGATTGGGAGATCTCATAACAAAAATACAAGTGGGGTTTCTGAGTCATTAGTATCAACCATTGAAAAAGGATGAGAGATTTGGGTTGTCCGCATTGCTTCCTAGTTAACTTTAATCTTTAACATGTCAGTTAGGATGCTTTCAGCTGCCAGTACAGCTGAAAATTTCAGTGCCAGAAAATTTGAAAGTATTTAAACAATAAGGACATTCATGATCTCACATAAATAGCAAGACTAGAGGTGGGAAGTTCCAAAACTGGTTAATTCAGCAGCTCATTTACATCATAAAAGACCTAGATTCCTTTCATCTCTCCCTTCTGCTATCCTCAGTGGATCATCTGGGTCATTTGAACAACTTCTCTCATGGCGGCAAGATGGCTGCTGAGCTATTCAATTATTTATTGATGATTTCCCTCAGACAATAATTATTCAATGATTTCTTCATGCTTGGGATTGAGGACTTGATGGCAAATTAGACAAGGATCTTCATCTTATGAATTTCATAGCATAGCATGGGAAACAAGAGTGAAGAGGCAATTATAGCACAAAATGTTAAGTGTCACCCAATTTAACAGGAAGCCGTATATGAAAGGCACTCAAGTTTGTCTTGAGGTGTTGGTGAAGTCTTTCCAGATTAGTTGACCTCTAAATTAAACCTGAATGGACAATAGAGATTAGACTGATGAAATTGGAGTGGGAAGAGAAAAGTGTTTCAGACAAAACCTAAAGCTAGAGGTGTGAAGATATGTCACATGCATGAAAGTGTAAGTACTTCTTCTCTATGACTGGAGTTTACAGTGTGAAGAAGATAGTGGGAAAAGATGAAGGGCACTATTAGGAAATTTAAGCAGTGAAGAAACATAGTGAACATAGTGAAATTTGTACTATAGAAGGACATGGCTGACTGGAGTGTGGATGATAAACTGGGAGTGTCAGGAGAGAGGCTAGGGAAACTGGGAGTCTGACTCAACAATTAGGGAGTTGTTATAAAAATCTATGTGAAATTATTCTGATCTGAATAAAAGTAATTACAGATTGCATAAAAATAAATAGAGAGATATAAGATAGATTACGGAGGTAAAACTGACACGGTTTGATTATTGATTGAGTGTGAAGAGAGAGGAAAATTGAGGATCCCTGAGGAGCTCGGGTGGCACAGTGGTAAAGCGTTGAACTGCTAACTGAAAGTTCAGTGGTTCGAACCCACCAGCCACTCAGAGGGAGAAAGATGTAACAGTCTGCTTCTGTGAAGAGTATAGCCTTGGAAACCCTACGGGGACGTTTTACTCTGTCCTAAAGGGTTGCTCTGAGTCAGAATCGACTCCAAGGCAATGGGTTTGATTTTGAGTTTTGAGGATAAGTGTCAGGGTTCTAGAAGGCTCAAGGGGCTGGCTGAATGGTATCACTGAATGGGAAACATGTGCAGGGAGGATTTTGGAGAAAGATGATAACTCCGCTGAGACATGATAACTTTGATGGGAAGTTCAGTGGAGATCTTACCAAATGCTGAATGATATGAGCTCTGAGCTCAGGAAAGAGATCTGGACTGGAGATGAATTCTGAGAATTTTTAGCACATTGCCCATAGCTGAGTGTTGAAGTGATTGCCTAGGAAATGACATTTAAGGGAGGGGTGAAGAAAGATAAACTGAGAAAAATTCAGAGAAGCAATCATCAGAGGTGTAAGAGGAGACCAAGTGGTGTAAGAGAAAAATTACAGAGAAATCTCAACCACACCTGCTGTTGCCAAGGAATGAATTATCATAAGGATTGAAAAAAAAATGCTTACTGAATGTAACAGTAAATGATCTTGACAAAAATAACTTAGAGTATTGAGTAGAAACCAGATTTTAATGGATTCGAAAGCCAATAGGAGGAGTTTGAAAAAATTAAGAGATCAAGTATAAAAAACTTACTTGAAAGATTTTACATTTGTGAGGAGAAAAAAGATGGATTAGTAGCAGGAAGATTATTTGAAGTTAAGAGATTTTTTTTAACCTTTTCCTGTAATGAAATTAGAATTTTTTATGGTATCAGAATTTAAATCAGAGAAAGATGTTTGGTTTTTGTTTTTGTTTTTCCCCAAGATTGTAATGCCTTATTTTGCTTGAAGGTCCTGGCAATATGTACAGAGTATAGTGGGGACAGGGGAAAGGAGTTTAAGGAAAAATGGAAGAATAGAAGATAGGAGGATACGAAGAGAAGAGAAAGATGAGAGAAGAAAGAAAAGGAGAAGTATGTAAAAAACAGAGCCCCAGTGAAGTTAACAATTAACTGGGGAAGAGGGAAAGATGAGCCAGCACAGGCGTTTGCACAGAGAAGTGATCAGTTACTCTGACCTAAGAGATAAGGCCTTCTAGAAACTTGAGGAGAGAGAGTATTTCAAGTAAGAAGTGGTATTACCAAACGCTGGCAAGTGAGAAATCCAGACAGGACTCATGGCATTTCTCTGTGTAACAACTTACCTGTGAGCAGGTAAGACACAACTAAAAGCCATAACTAGAAATGGAGCCCAAGTCTACAGAAAGATAGCTGAAAATCATTTAAACTCAACGCAGACTCAAACGTGATTTCCTCTGAGAACTTTAGTTGGAGGAATCTGAGGAATCAGAGGGCAGCAAATTGTCCTTACCTGAGTGTTTCTACAAGGCACTTCGTTTATATTCTAACATATATCTCATGGCATTAAAATTATTTTGTTGCACCTTTTTGTAGACTCTCAGAGCTTCAAGGGGACAGGGACTATATCGCACACCTTGTCGCCCAGTGCTTGGCACAGTAATTAGCAGACAGAATATACTCTGTCTACATTTATTAAATACATAAAATATTTTTCTATAATAAAGAGTGGAGCATCAGAATTTCTGCTTTCAGGAGGATGGAGTAGACCTAATTCCCTATTCCTCTCCAGTAATGTTTTGTATCTTGACTATCAATTTCAATATCCTAGTCATAATGTAAGGAGCCCAGGTGGCACAGTTACATGCTCAACTGCTAACTCAAAGGTGGGCAGTTTGAACTCACCCAGCTGTTCTGCAGGAGAAATACCTGGAGATCTGCTTCTGTAAAGGTTACAGCCAAGAAAACCCTATGAGGCAGTTCTACTCTGTCACAAGTGGTCACTGTAAGTCAGCCTCGACTCAATGGCACCTAACAACAACAACAATTATAATGTACTATAGATACCATTAGTGGAAACTGGATAAAGGGAACATGGCATCTCTCTGTATTATTTCAGACAACTGCATATGAATCTACAATTATCACAAAATAAAGAAGTTTAATTTAAAAAATGCCTATAAGCCAATAAAAGTAGAGTGTCAAAAATAGTTAAAAGAACAGTAGTTTTGAAGTCAGATTATTTTAGGGTTGAATTGTAACTTTGCCACTTTTTTTTTAGCTATGTAACCTTTACCTGAAGGTCTCTGGTTGGTGCAAATGTTTGCTCTTGGCTACTAATCTAAAGATTGGCAGTTTGAACCTACTCAGTGGCAACAAGAAAGATAGGTCTGGTAATTTGCTTCAGTCTTTACAGTTGCCAAGAAAATCTGTGGAGCAGTTCTACTCTGTAACATATGGGGTCACTTGACAGCAACAGGTTAACTTTTACCTGACCGAGGCTTAAATAACTGTTAATTATCATCATCACCACCACCAAAACACTTACCATATATAATACTTATTCTGTACCACTCACTACTCTGAGCACTTTGCATATTTTCGCACACTCAATTCTCTAAATAACCCTATGATGTAGGTGTCATTGCTATCTTAATTTTACACGTTGGGAAACTGAGGCACAGAAAGGAGAAGTAATTAATTCACTTAAGGTCACACAGTAACTAGAAGAACATGGATTTGAACCCAGGAAGTCTTCCATAAGGCTTGATACCTGCCTCTGACATCTATGCGGCTCAGGAAACAAGTAAAAATGCAAGACCTACACTATATGTCTAAATACTTAGAAGTTATAATTCAAGCTAACAAACTCTTAAAATACATATTCTAACCTTTCTCTTTGACAAATATATTTGGAAACCACTTGGAACTTCAGGTTTGAATTTAAAATTCTAAAACCCATCACAGTTCCATACAATAAGCATGGTCTATCCCCTTTCTCTTTGCACTCATGGTTTGGTGCCACACTGTGAGATGCCTCCATGCTTGTTTGGGAGGACATCCCACCTGCAAATGCAAGGCCTGTCTATACTCCATGGACCTAAGGGTATGCATGCTGGTGGGCAGTGTGTCCTTGGTGGATGTACTTGAGGAAGAAAACTATGCAAACCCTAGGAACATGGGGCTTTAGGACAGTGAATTCCAGGGCCCTGACTACCTGAAGCATGGTCTAGAAGTGGGGTGATGAGTTCCAGGTAGGACGTCTTTTTGGCTTTGAGGAAATATCCTCCTTTTGGGAGGGGTACAGCTAAAGAGAACCAGAACAAGGTCTAGAGTAGGGGTCCCTCTTACTTAGGTCTAAGTGGGATACTGGCCTCATTTCAACAGTGATGATACTTGTACCTTCTACAACTGTGAAGATTACAGCTAATTTAGATGAAGTCCCTCATGTATCTACTGTGCCAACTGTGTTACTATGCTGGATTAGAGGAGAGATTGGCCATTCTGTTAATATTTGCAGTTTAATATTAAGTAGTAAACTTTCTCATTATTAGTATTTCATAGTTAAACTATATTTTTTTATTTTTATTTTTTGTAGATGGACTGGAGGCTTTTACCAGATTTCTTAAAACCGAATTCAGTGAGGAAAACATTGAATTTTGGATAGCCTGTGAAGAATTCAAGAAAAGCAAGGAACCTCAACAAATTACCCTTAAAGCAAAAGCAATATATGAGAAATTTATACAGACTGATGCTCCACAAGAGGTACAGTAAATTACGAAAATATACAACTGCTTGGAAATTTTGTTAGAGAATCTGCCTTCATGAAATTGGAATCTCATACATTCCATCACAAAGGTCAGGATTGGCTTGAAACAATAATGGTTGTTTATATAGATTTCTACATACAAACAGGAATGTATTGTAAGATATTACCATGGGAGGAAAGGTATAACTGAATCCATTCCTCAGAGTTATTTTCATTGTAGAGTAAGAGTGAATAATTTAATTGAAACATTTAGAATGATTCATTTATCCTGATTAGTCACTTTAGCACAAGCAACGTCTCAGAGAAACAGAGTTTTCTATACCTGATGAAGGCAAGAGAAATCAGCACATTTGTATCATTAAATTTATGCTCATCTACCTACACCAAATTTTTTTGCCCCAAAAGTTTCATTCCTTTACCTTGAGACAGACTAATAAAATTTCATAACATATAGATAAGATAAGGAACTCTGGTGGCGCAGTGGTTAAGCTCTCTGCTGCTAACTGAAAGGTAGGCCGGTTTGAACCCACCCCCCAGCTCCTCACCGGAGAAAGATGTGGTAGTCTGCTTCTGTAAAGATTTATAGCCTTGGAAACCCCAGTGGCCTGTTCTACTCTGCCCTATAGGGTTGAAATCCCCTTAATGACAATGGGTTATAGATAAAGTAAATCTAATTTGGCAATTGTTCAAGTGAAAAAAACTGTGGTTTTCTTTAACTGTAAGCTCAATGGTAGTTTTGTGATGTAATTGCTAATATGGCTATAATACCAGCAAATTTTACTTGACTACAGAGTCACTATGAGTCAGAATCAACTCGACAGCAACAGGCTTTTTATCCTATAGGAGCCCTGGTTGCACAGTGGTTAAGAGTTCAACTGGTAACCAAAAGATAAGCAGTTTAAATCCACCAGCCACTCCTTGGAAACCCTATGAGGCAGTTCTACTCTGTCCTATGGGGTCCCACTATGAGTTGGAATTGTCTCCATGGCAACGGGGTTTTTTTTGTTTGTATGTTTTTATCCTCGGATATCAATTAAGTATTCTATTTTTCTATTATGATTTATGATTGTTAAGACTTATTACACATGTTAACTGGGGCCTGGGAAAAGTCATTACTGATCTAAAACTTTTTTGTACTGAACATATTTTTACTTAATGTTGTGGGAGAAAGCAAGGTATAGTGAAAAAAACAGTCTCCATTAGCTAGCTTGTGACTTAGGGCAAGTTTGCTTCTAAATATGTAAGTGAATAAAAATGACATCCTTACTGATTTCTTAAAAGGTCTGAAGATATTATCTTTAACGTAATTAAATGTTGCTTAAAAGTAATCTGCCTATCAAAATGCCAGTGTATTTAAAAGCTCTTAATAGTGTTCAATTAATACCAGTTGCTGTCCTGTCGATTCTGACTCATAGCAACCCTATATAATGTGAGTTATGAGTTCAATAAATAGTGGCTCTTTACTGAGGTGGTAGAACTTACAGCCTGTCACCGTTAAGAGTTCTGTTTGACTATAAATTAGTACTTCCCATGAGGTAGCATGGAAACCCTGGTGGCAAAGTGGTTAAGTGCTATGGCTACTAACCAAAAGGTTGGCAGTTCGAATCCACCAGGTGCTTTTGGAAACTCTATGGGGGCAGTTCTACTCTGTCCTATAGGGTTGCTATGGGTCAGAATCGACCAACAGCAATGGGTTTGGGTTTTACGAGGTAGCATTGTCTATGTGGATATTGTTCCCCAGATGATGGGTATTTTCCATTTCAATGTGTTTCAGTCTGTTTTGTGTTTCAATGTGTTATTCTGTCTTCCCAAGGCAAATGTTATGCACAGGTAAATAAGGTATGTAGTTGTATAGTGCTATTCACAAGGGAAAAGGAAGGTCCCCTACCTGAAAGCCCACCACCATCAGACCAAAAATCAGTTTGGTTTGATATAAAGCATTAAAGGAGTTTATATCTTTTTAAGAATATTAGTAACTTAACACACATTTGCTTGTAGGAAAGCATCATGACACAATGAAAAGAGCACTGAGATAAAACAAAAGCCTCACACTGAATTTCCAAATATTCCCCAAGCCCACTCAGATGGTTTAACCCCTGTGAAGTTCAATTTCCCACTTTTAAAATGAGTGAGTTGAACCTGATGATCTCTATGATAGTTTTTCATTATTGTTGATAGGTGTCATTGAGTCAATTTAAACTCATAACAATCCCCTGTGACAGAGTGGAATTGTCCCATAGGGTTTTCTAGGCTGTAATTTTTATGGAGGGAGATCTCCAGGTCTTTCTTGTGATGAGCCACTGGGTGAGATCCAACTACCAACCTTCTGGTTAGCAGCCAGATGCTTAAACAAGTGCTTTTGGTTAGCAGCCAAGAGCTCCTTCTTTTCGTTGTAATATTCCATTATTCTAAGAGACTGAGAGGGACTGTGAACATGGGGAGAGACAAATCAGGCCAAATGGCAGTCCAGAGTAAATTACTGATCCCTAGACTCACGAAGGAAACCCCGGTGTCGTAGAAGTTAAGAGCTACGGCTGCTAATCAAAAGGTTGACAGTTCATATCCACCAGGCGCTCCTTGGAAACCCTATGGGGCAGTTCTACTCTGTTCTATAGGGTCGCTATGAGTCAGAATCGACTCGATGGCAATGGGTTTGGGTTTTTTTTTGGTTAGACCCATAAAAAGGAGCCCTGGTGATGCAATGGTTAAACTCTCGGCTGCTAACCAAAGGGTCAGCGATTCCAACCCCCTAGCCGCCCTGCGGGAGAAAGACTTGGTGGTCTGCTCTGGTAAAGATTACAGCCTTGGAAACTTACTGGGCAGTTCTATTCTGTACTATATGGTCGCTATGAGTCGGAATCCACTCAACAGCACACAACAAGAGCCATAAAAGAAAAAGTACTCGAACACAAAATGTCCACTTTCAACATTGTATCTGTCTTGTTCTGATGAGTTTTCAAAGGTGTTTACTTAAGTAGATTAACTATAATTAAACTTTTTTTTATTATCCAGGTTAATCTTGATTTCCACACTAAAGAAATCACTACAAAGAACATCACCCAACCCACCCTCCACAGTTTTGATGCTGCACAAAGCAGAGTGTATCAGCTTATGGAACAAGATAGTTACACACGTTTTCTGAAATCTGACATCTATTTAGACTTGATAGAAGGAAGACCTCAGAGACCAACAAATCTTCGAAGACGATCACGCTCACTTACCTACAATGAATTCCAAGATGTAAAGTCAGACGTTTCCATTTGGTTATAAAAAAAACTTAATTTCACTCATTTTGATGGCAAACTCTTAAATCGGCCCCTAAGGTATATAAAGTTTATGTTAACGAATGGGTACATCCTTTCAAATAAAATGCATCATGAAAAAGTACTTTAAAAATGTAAACCATAAATGTTTATGCTAATAATACATACAGTACCTGCTGATATATTCTGTAAAACTTTCCATTTGAACTCATTCCAATCAGAATCAGAGAAACTTACGAACTTAACTAAAAGGCAGTAAAGAAATAATGTTTTATAAGTTAAAGGTTAAGCTTTTGTAAAATTTTCAAGTTTGAATTTTTTTCTATAAGTAAACAAAATAACATTCAGATATGCATTTTTTAGACAACATTTGCCACAAAGATGAAGACTCTCAGCAATCATACAGGATGTAAATATGCTCCAGTTCTTACAGTGGGAGAGGATGAACATTCATTCCTTGGTTACTATTTTGGCTCAAGAATAAAAATCTATCACCACCAGTTATAAACCATCAACAGGAACTTTGGGTGAGGAGACGTTCATCTCCAGAGAACTCCCACATTAAACATAGCCCAGGTTGATAAATGAGGGTGGCATCTGTGTTTGAGTTCATTGCTAAGTGAGCATGTACTTACCCAGTTATATGGATCACACTTCTGCTGGTCTCAGAGACATGACCAGATTATACATAGCTCCAGGTTGAAACTGAATGTAGCATCTTCTCACCTGCTAAGAGCACTTGCTATTAAAATACGGGGCCAGTCAGTGGTTTGAGTGAAAACCAAAGGAGGTTTAACCCAGAAGAAATCAGGCTCCAGTTTGGACTTTTAGAGTTGAGGCAGAAATTAGAAATGAGAAGATGTAAAGAAGCAAAAAGTCTGAGACCCTGCAGATTCAGGTATATGTCACCTGGCTCATATTCAAAAAGTGTTCTTCCACTGGTATGTTCTTCCAGATCTTGTTGAATCATTTAATACTATGTTATTCAAATAAGAATTGTACTAATATGTATATAAATGCATCTCTATTTTTAGGTAAATATCTAATTGTAGATGTGTGCTGCATGGTTTGTAAATGTCTGTATGTAAAGATGCCATACATTTGACTTTGGCAAATATCACTTTATTTGAACTGTAAAATATAAAAACTTTGAACATCTATAGCAATAAACACTTGAATTTTTCCATTCATATAGTTAATGTTTATTTCGAATGCATTCACTAATTATTAATTATCTTTCATGATATCATATTAGACGTGGACATATTTTCTTGCTTTAGAATGATATTGGGATGTTGTTGTTGTGGGTCGTAGAGTCCGTTCCGGCTCATAGTGACCCTGTAGGACATAGTAGAACTGCCCCTTAGGCTTTGCTAGGCTATAGTCTTTAAAGAGTAGGAGATCTGGTGGTGCAGTGATTAAAGCACTCAATGGCTAACCAAAAGGTGGGTCGGCGTTTGGATCCCAACAACTGCTCCAGGAGAGAAAGATGTGGCAACCTTCTTAGGTAAAGATTACAGCCTTGGGACAGTTCTACTCTGTCCTATAGGGTTGCCATGAGTCGGAATGGACTCAACTTCGATAGTTTTTTTTTTTGGGGGGGGGCTACTCTTTAGGGGAGCAGATCTCTAGGTCTTTTCTCCCACTGAGCAGCTAGTAGGTTGGAACCACCAACCTTTCCAACTCATAGCAACCCTATAGGACAGAGTAGAACTTCGCTATAGGGTTTCCAAAGAGCAGCTGGTGGATTCGAACTGCCTACCTCTTGGTTACCAGCAGAACTCTTAACCACTGCACCACCAAGGTTTCACTTCAGTTAGAAGCCCAAACTTAACCATTGTGCTACCAGGGCTCCTTGATATTGGCATAGAAAGTATTAACTTTGCATCATTTACCTTAATGCTAAATCAGTTTTCCTATTCCGTTGTGAATGTGAAACAAAGTATAGTGCATTTCAAAGATCAGCTAAGAAAGTGCTTTTTAATTTTTGCTTGGCTAATTAATAGTTTCTTTTTCTGTGGTAGTCTCTTCAGAAATAATGTGGGCTCATCTGAAAAGAATGATTGATTTTAGTTTTATTGCTCTAGAACTACAAATATATATTATTTAGCTTCACTACTTGTGATGTATTTCACAAGTAGCCAATCTCTTGATTATATTATAAAATATCCAGTGAGAACTTTCAAAAAGTTACCAGTGGGTTTTGATGTTAATGCCTGACTTCAGGGATCTTGCAATCTGTGGGATGATAATGTGGGAAAACACAGAAGAGAAATAAAAAATGGACAAGTGACTTAAACCAAAACCCAAACCCATGACCGTGGAGTGGATTCCGACTCATAGCGACCGTATAAGACAGAGTAGGAGTACCCCATGGGATTTCCAAGGCTGTAATCTTTTCTCCAGTGGGCTGCTAAATCTTTCTCCCATGGAGCAGCTAGTGGGTTAGAACAGCTGACCTTGCGGTTAGCAGCCAAGTGCTTAACCACTGTGCCACCTAGGCTCCATAAGTGACATAAGTAAAAATGCACGGACAACACAAAATGCAAAAGGAATGGCATTTGTGGCTTGAAAGATCAATGCCTCCATAACTGGATATCTGATTCTTAGAAATTCATATACCTGTTAAGGAGCCTTACAGTCCACATTTCTGAAAATAGGAGCTCAGTAGTTATAATTTCTAATGCTCATTATAGTCTCTACTGTCCGTGATTCTAAGTAGATCTCCTGATATTCTTCAAAGCAGTTCTTGATTAGTGCCGAAGGAAGGAAAGGAGCCAAACAGGTACGGCTAGTAAAGGGAAACTTTAGACTAAAAATTAATATGAGATATTGATCTAAAAATAGGAAATAATTTTATGGAAAACAGAAATACATGAAAAGGAAGAAGTCAGAGGAAATAAAGTTGTACTTTTTTTTCTTTCTGACTTGTCAAATGTATGGTAACATTGTGTCTTTAAAGTATTGGACAATAAATAGAGTTGGTTGGATTAGGCAATCTGGAGTGACTTGAAGCATGTTTCAGCATAGATTAAAGGCTTTAAAATGTGCCAAACTGTATTTGAATCTTGGCTCTGCCACTTACCAGGTGTAATACGTTGGGAAAGTTACTTAAATATTCTTAACTTTAATGTTTAATTTATATTATTGGCATAAAACATTTGCCGTGTTCTTATGATGGTACAAAAGGATACATTATAGAAAAATGAAAATTATAATAATCTGAACTACGTCTAATATCACATCATAGTTTTTAAAAAGTACTATATAGTAGCCACAGCAAAGAGAAACTTGATTGAATTCTACTTATGACTTAAAGGCAAAAATAATATATGCCAAGCATAAATTGGAAAAAAAAAAAGACCTCTCATTTTACAATCCAGAAATAAGCATTATAAACACATGTGTATAATTCTTTCTAATCTTTCAAAAATCTATTTAAAATTTTCATCCTTCAGATAAGGGATTATTAATATGAATACTAATTATCAGAGAATTGTGTCTACGGATTATAAAAAGTAAATTTTAAAAATAATATTAATGTTTGAAAAATAATTAATTCCCTTAATTTAAAATATAATTTCTGATATCAATATGAACAAGAACCATGAAGCCATGAATAGAATAACCAAACTTAAAAAAAATGACAGGTAATAATATTTTTGAGAGAAATCCTAAATAAAACATATGAAAAAATAATTATTGGGTTACAAAGGGTATGAAGATAAGGGACGAGGAAGAGTAAAGGGAGCTCAATAGCAGAAAGACAGACATAAAGTAATGGATAAAGTAATGGCTTCTAAGAGTAACTATTTTATTACAAATAAATCACATTATGGAAGGTTGTTGAATAAGAAAAGAACAGAAACATTTGAAATTCTCTTGTCAAAGCATGACATTTTTCTGATTAAGAGAAATCCACCTCATTATTGGCAATCTTCGTTTCACGATCTACAGATTTCATACATTTTCTTCCATCAATGAACACTAGCATTGGAAGGAGATTTAGAGATCATGTTCTATTAACTCAACATTTTGCAGTGAAGGATAATGAAGTCTCTAAAAAACTTAGAATGTCAATAAGGAAGGATTTGAGTGAAAATGTGACTTAGGTATCAGCCATTGTCATTACTCATTCATCACATCAGCAATTACTTATTAGTGCCTTCTAAGTGTCAATATTCTCTTCTAGTAAAACGCAGTATTATGTGAGTATACCAAATACACTAGTCTTCCAAAAAAGTAATCTCTTTTGCTTTATTACAAATTAAACCTTAATCAGAACCCAGCATAAAACTAGATTATTTTCTTGAAATTTAGTTTTTGCTGATATTATGTGTATGTGTGTTGGTGAGTATACATATACATAATTGTTGAAAGAAATGCAGACTATATTAGAATAAATTGTTTTTAATGTTCTTTTATTTATCAAGTGCTAAAGAAACTGCAGTTCCATTGAATAGCAATGTTTGGAGCAATAAGAATCAGAATTCTATTTTATAAAAGAAATGAAGTCAATTAGTTATCTTTTTGGCATAGATCTTAATTTGTTAGTCATAATTTATAACACTATAAAATTTTAGTCATACATGCATATATCCTATGTACCCGTCTTAGTTATCTAGTGCTACTATGCAAGAAACACAAGTGGATGGCTTTAACAAACAGAAATTTATTCTCTCACAGTTTAGCTAGAAGTCCGAATTCAGTGTGCCAGCTCCAGGGGAACGCTTTCTCTCTCTGTCAGCTCTGAGGGAAGGTCTTTGTCATCAATCTTCCCCTGATCTAGGAGCTTTTCAGCAGGGAGGCCTGGTCCAAAGGACACACTCTGATCTTGGCTTTTCTTGCTTGGTGGTAATAAGGCCCCTCTCCTCTCTAAACACTTCTCTCTATTACATCTCAAAAAAGATTACCTCAAGATACAGCCTAATCCTATAGATTGTGTCCTGCCTCATTAACATAACTGCCTCTAATCCTGTCTCATTAACATCATAGAGGTTAGGATTTACAACAAATCGGATATTATATCAGATCACAAAATGGAGGACAATCACACGCTACTGGGAATCATGGCCTAGCCAAGTTGACGTACATTTCTGAGGGACACCTTTCAATCCATAACAGTACCTAATTAAAGACTTCTAGATTTTTGGAAGCACTTAGATATTTCATGATACGTGTCATATTAAAATTGTATATTCACTTTTATAAATCCTCAGTTATAAAATCTTAAATTTAAATAGCTCTGTATTTTGCTTTTATACTGAAGATATATGTTATACAGTAAGTTCTTCGGGTATGAACGTAGGATTTACGGACAACTTGTACTTGCCCTTTAATGTTATGTAAATTTGCCCTCACTTTGGAACAACTGAACCAACTCACACTTGCAACAAATTCTTCATCACAATCACCTTCACTTGCTGCATGTGCAGCTTTTAAATCATTGAAAAGGCTTCAAGCCTTTTCTTGCACTAAAGTAAGGTTAAATAAGAACCATATGCACCTTTTCCAACTGCCCTACAAATTCAACTTAAAGACACACTTAGCAAAGGATCTCATTCATAACCTGGGGACTGCTTATATATTAAATGAGTTAATATCTTAATATCTTTTTTAAATAGAAGCTACCTTAATTTTTAGATTTTTGGCTGAAAAATTGTTTTATGATTTAATTGTAGATGCTGATTTATACTTTTGTTTTACAAAAAGTCTTGTTGCTTACCTGTAATATTTTATTATGCTACATACACCCATACATAAAAGAAGTGCCTAGTACCGTATTTTTACATAAATAATGTGCACCTTCTACATTTGTTTGCCAAGTGTGCTCTTGCCCCTAATTTTGTAAGTGCACTATGCTTTTTTTTTTTTTTTTACAGCAACATGTAAAAAAAGAAAAAAATTGACATAACAGCACTTACAAAAGTACCTTGTGGGGGGAGGGTGTGGTTGGCAATCAAACAGAAGATGCACGTTATTTGTGTAAAATACGGTATTTGCTTGCTTTCAAAATTCTAATACATCAATAAAACAAATGCAGCATAACTAATGCCAGTTAAAATTAATAGTAGAAAAAATGTGAATGTATATTGAAGATTGAAATTGTAAGTCTTCATCAAAGAGTCTAATTTTTCCCTTTCATGTTATATGCCTGAGTCTTTGGCAAAGATATAAAGTGGATTGTTTG